TTCTCTCTAGCAATATTTCACTCCCGCAGGATTGCTTTACAAGAGTCAAAGATGAAGTATGGCCCATAGATGACGAAAATATTGTTCGCTACTTGATCAACAAACAAAAATTTGATGGTTTATGGGATTTGGATGCGAACGACATAGAACTCTTGACTGGAAAACCATTGACAAGTTTTACACCATTCAACAATAAACAAATTCTTATTTCGGCTATTATTATTGTTGTACTTGAAACGCGTTTTGCCACAATGTCGATTATGTGGCATGGTACAGTGCAAAAAGCTCGCAAACATCTTTTCGATTTACTTGGCAAAGACGCCAAAGAGCTTGAATTGTTACTAGAGAACATTCGTCAACAATTTTGAAAAATGTTTACTGACGATTAAGCATGACTGTTTAACTTACTATTATCATTTATCTGTAGAGCTAGAAAACGAATAAAGACTTTCGTTAACCTCATTTGAATAGTATTATTATCATCATCATTGATCAAAATCTAAAGATTGTCCCAGTAGCTCCATATACCTGCTCTACGATTTCTTTTCAAGACGTTAATAAACAAAAACAATAAATTTTCTCCGAGAAAAATCTAAAATGCAACTAAATCTTAAATAAACACATACTATAGCCATGGAGTTGCTTTTGTATAGCCTTTTCAATACATCCATTCAGTACACTAAAACGTGTTACACATATAAAACTTGAACGCTGAATTTAATTACTCAAAAACTAAAAAGAATTTGTTCTTGTAACTGATCTTTATATATTTGTGTCGCGTCGTAGGACTCGTATTAGTTTTATACTCGTCTCTGTTTACATAGTACAGTCTATCTTGATTTTATGCTTAGATAGTACTGAACAGGACGTAAATCTAAACGGATCCGAAAATTATGAACATTATTTTTATCGTTTCTGACTAAAATGACAAACCGAATAAACACTCCTCAAGAGCCTTACTGAAGTGTTGCTCAGGAATAGTTTAAATGCGTATTAAATATTATAGTATTTATATTGTTTAATTTAGTTTTAATTCATCTAGTCTTTCTGAGTTTAGTTATTTATAAATCCATTTTTATAGATTGTTACTTAGCGGATAAACAACATTAAGTCAATTGAACTATAATGACATATATATGCAATAAAACATTGAAAATTGTCACAAATTTGTGTCGTTTCTAATACAAAAAGTATATCAAATTCATTACTATTTTTTTTTATAAAGTATTACTTCAGGATTCAGAATATTTTTTTAGTGATTCGAATATTATGAAGGCTGTACTCAATTCATAATTGAATGCAAGAATTTCCAATAACCAAAGTACACAATATAACGATAGAATCTATTTTGAGAACGATCTATATTGCATTTATGTAACGAAAAAAATACTAGTAAGAGAAAAAATATTTTCAATCTTTACATAAAACGTTTTAAATTCAAGAAAAACATAAATTTTTTTTGATTATGTCAGACATTAGTATCTTCTGATGACATTGGTAATAGTTAATTTCTTATCCATTCTTATACTGAATAATACCCACGAATTGCGTTTGTTTATCTTCGCATATAAATGCACTGAGACGATTACTACATGCTATTTTTTTTTTTCGATGTTCTATACAATATATCACCTAGTAGAAGGAAGAAAAACTAACAGTTGGCCTAGTTTTTTCTTCTATTTTTGTATTCTTCTACATTTATTGTCAAGACTTATTTACGCATTATCAAAATGCAACAAGGACAAGAACGCAAAAAGGTGGATATAATGAGTGATTCTAACATATCTATGTTAATAAAAATCTCATTGAACGAAGATCTTCAAGTGCAACGAACTCGCCAAATTCTTTCCATCATACTTTGTGCTTGTATTGTGAGTTCTATTTTTTATTCACTGTAAATATTCAGCTAGATAAATCAAAGTATTTTCGAGTACAGATCTAAGATAATGAGCAATAACAGAAAAGATTTGTTCGAATTAATCGAACGTATTCTTCATGTGCAAATATGAACATGAAACTTAACTCGTTGCATGCTAATCACAGTATATTCAAAGAATCTATTTTTCATTAATATTATTTATTAATCTATTAGTGTTTGTGTATACTCGAAGCAATTAGTATGATTTTTGGAAATAGCAGCAATGCTTGTTTAATTAAAACTGGACCTGTAGCGGAGCTTGTTGAATTTCTTAGTTTAATTATTGCTTACAGTTTTGGATTATTCGTGGCTCGTCGATATTATGAAACTGGTTTACGAATAGTATGTATTTGTCTCTTGTTTTTCTTTTTCTTTTTCTTTTATATTTGCAATTCTTATAAAAATATTTAAACTAAATCGATTTTGTTTTAACTTCAACAATAGATTTTATTTTTACTTAAATAACTTTTTAGAATTTCACTTCTATTAACTAAACCTCATCAACTAATGAGTCAAATCTTTTTCACACTAAATGTCTTACATAGAAACAAATATGAGTATTGATGGATTTAACTATTCTATCCATATTGTATCTAAGACCTTATAAACAAAAAAAGGAAATGAAACAATTAGTTCATCTCATTTCGAATAGAACATAATTGGGAAACAAATCTTCATATGCATTTTTCCTTTTCTTTTCTGATGGATATTTTTGTTTCTTAAAAAGCTTTAAATAAAAACTATTTTTATACATAGTGAAATAGATAAAACAACATTTTGGATTAATTCTCTGTGAATAAAATCTTTTAATTAAAACTTACATTTTCACTTTCGAATTATAGTTTGCTTCGCTGATCGTACTTGAAATGGTTATGATTAGTATTGGTATTATAATTGTAGTTCTTATAATTTTTGGTGCCATACCTCGAACTGCACCAAACTCAACGGCTTATAGAGAGCATGATAGTCTCATGATTCGTACGCAAATTGGTGCTTTTTATTGTGCCTTTGTATACATTGTAACTTTTATTCTTGATGTAAATATTTTATTTCATTTATTTCTATTGATGTTATACTTCTTTTACTTTATAGATTATCATTGTAAAATTTGCTTTCAAATTGGCCAAGCTTATTGCTGTTGAAAGATCTTCGACCATGCCACAAATATAATTTTACTTTTTTACTCTAACTTATACTCATGCTAACTTGTATTCAGTTATTTTGTTCTTGCTCAGAAATTTGAAAATAAATATCAAACATGTTTTATTTATCAATAATTTATCGAATGCAAGAATTACTTATAATATCAAATAATGCCATATGACAAATATAAGTTTCAGACAATTACTAAATAGACCAAAAGAGGTGAAGACGATTGATCAGTGAACAGAAAGTTGATCGTTCTATGGTGTAGGTGTGCGTATCGTGTTTGACATACTTTATTTCTCTATCTATACCCTCTTTTAACTTTTCTTCTAGTGTCATTTTGTGCATTATGATATTCCTATTTCGTAGTTCCTTCTTTGATTTTTTATTAATAATCCAGATAAACTCGAGTTTCGACAAGCAGTGAAAAAACTACAACAAACATTTCTTTTCAACGAAAGTATTACGGCTTGTCCAAACGTAACGCTGTTACGTTTTTGACACACTCTTCTTCAACTATCTCGAAAAGTTTAAGAGTTAGGATGTTCGCTCAAACGTCATTCGACGCAGCTTATCGAACTTTATTTATCGTATAAAAATGGCCTTTTTTGACTGAAGTCTCAGGCATCTAGAAAGGTTTTAGCATGGCGTAACGCTGTTACATAAAAGGACCCTTTTTTTCCAGTGCCGCCAAGAAAACTCTAAATTCTTGCGAAACCATTTCTTCAAATGTAATGCTCCGAGAGTCATTTTTGTAGAGCATTGAATAGGCTTTCAGGCAGTAAAAAAGATTTTCTCTAAAACATTTTTGCTCAGATAAAAAATGCAAAAAACAAACGTAACGCTGTTACACAGTTTTTTGTTGACCAATTTTGAGGCACTTAATGTACTCAGAATGACTTGATTTTTATAAGTGTTACTGTTTTCTATGTAGACAATCCCGTGTGCAAAAATGAGATTGATACATCGATCTGAGAGCTCATAAACTGAGCAGGAAGTTCGGAATTATATCGAAGTCTCCAATTTGTTCTAAGCTGCCAAAGTCAAAACTAAATAGACCATTTTGTAGAGAATTTAATTCTGCATCGAATGGTATGTCTCTTGACCTTTGTTGAAAAAATTTCTTGGTTAAAAAATCCAAAATACAGTTTTTGAAAACTTTAAAATCCAGTTTTCGATCTCAAAATCTGATTTTTATACAAAATTAATACCAAATTCGTAATCAGCGTAAAAAACTGCATCTAGTACCCCACTGAGATCTGTCCAACTCGGAAAAAAATTTTTTCAAAACTTGATCAGCGAAGTGTCGCGTTACGCGGACAAGCCGATTACTCAAGCATTGTACTTTGGAAAAAAATCTCGAATATATTGTACTTTGCGGAAACCCTATCGTTGAAGAGGAAAACATCCCTAGCAGAGCCATCGAAACGTTTCTTCGATGATTCTTTCCTCACCGGAACTAGGTTTTTAGCAAAGTGTGGCATACTCAGAATCGTATCTTTCCGAAACGAAGAGATTATTCTCATTTAACAGAGTAGAATAACTGGCTATAATGAACATCAGAAATCAATTGAAAGTTTTACTACAATGAAAGTCATATCAACGTAATTATGTTCATAAAAATAATTTTGTATTATTTGAATCAAAATAATTACGATCATCAGAAGATAAGATATTATCATTGTTTGATATATCGGTACGGTATTCTTCATTTGCATAGTATTATTGCTGCTAGCATCTGTACAAACTTCGACTGATAGGCCATAGAGTTCTGCACTATTAAGGCCATTGAAATCAGTGCTTCCACCAGCCACTAAAACTTTTCCATTTGTTAACACAAATGCGGTGTGAAACCACCGTTTAGTACTCAAACTCATGATTTTTTTCTATAATTCTGTTAATGGATCATATAATTCTACACCCAAAAAGGCCACCATTATGCATTCCACCAACAACTAACACTTTTCCATTTTTTTAATACAGATACAGTGCAAGAAACTCGTGCATTATTCATGCTGCCAGTTTTTTTCCATGACCCACTGAGACCATTTTCACCACTAACTAATAGTGTTCCATTGGCTAAACCAGATGCAGTGTACCAAAATCGTGCATCGCTCAAACTGCTAGTTTCTGTCCATAATTCCGTTGATGGATCGTACAATTCTGTACTAGAAAGGTGACCATCATTTAATCCACCAACAGGTAGCACTTTACCATTAGTTAATACAGATGCAATGTGAGCATGTCGTGCAATATTCATGCTACCAGTTTTTGCCCATGACCATTTTGATGGATCATATAAGCGTGCACTATTTAAAGAACCATTTGGACCACTTCCACCAGCAACTAACACTCTTCCATTGGCTAATACAGATGCAGAGTGCAAATTTTGTGCCGTACTCATATGCCCAGTACTTGTCCACGATCCAGTTGATGAATCATACAACTCTGCACTCGCTAACATATACTCCCTATTTTGTCCACCAGCAAATAGCACGCTTCCATCAGTCAACATAGAAACTGCGTGAAACAGTCGCGGACTAATAATATTGCCACTAACCGTCCAAACTTCTATAGATGGATCATACAGTTCTACATCAACAGAACCTAAACGATCGTCCAACACTCCATCATGAACTAAAATTATTTCATTTGTTAGCATAAATGCAGTATGACCAGATCGTGCAGTACTCACGTTGCTTATGCACAACCAACCTGAAAAGAAGCATCAATGTGCGAGATAGGTGATTTCTACGTAAAATCTACGCATAATGGTGTGAGTGTGAGGTGGAGGTGTCGTTGGGTATGTGCGTGTCGGTGTAAATGAAGCAAAGAATCACACCTACATCCAACAAGACTCACACTCACATCCAAATCCTCCTACTTTTCTTAAGATAGATTACAGGCTCGTTTTAAATAGAACATAATCCTTACTTATTTCATCTTTTCTTATAACTAACAAGATCATCA